CTTTTCGGGTCTGACTGTCTGACTGCCTGCTACGCAGTTGGGGCCCCATGCCGCGACCTCAATCTTTTTTTTATGCTGAGGGATGGATGAAATCACACAGGTTAGTAAACTGACTAAACTTGACCGACCCCAACGCGAAGTCCCCATCCTCCAAAGCAACAACTCTAAATCCTAAACCTGCAGATCCAAGCACTGCTTCAAGCTTAAATCATCTGAACGATGTATATAATACTCGAGGCCAAGTGACCGCGCCAACTTTCTCCCTACTGACGTATTTTCCGTATTGAGCTCACCTAGCATGCCCCCGGAAGTATGCTGATCTTGAAGGCAAGGCACCCAAAGAATATCCACAATGTTGGGAAGCCCAAATGCCTATAACACTTGCACATCTCTGATGTGTGTATGGAATAACCTCTGTACAAACCACCACATCTTATCACACAGGGGCTGGCATTTTCAGTGTCAGCACAGGCACCCTTACGCCAGGTAAGGTTGCCGACCCGCATAACTTTCACCTGGAAAGGCGTTAAAGTTGAGCAGAGAAGGTTCGAGGAGTTAAGGATTTGGAGGCTGCAACACCACCGGCACCACCACTGCCGGCGAGATAGTGGGATTGCAGGTCAAGGTAGCACTTGAGCTTGTACACTGTTGACGGCGCGGCCGCACTACTCTTATAGTGCTGAGCCCGATGACTACTCATTTAGTCAGCATGAACGTTCACGGCTGCTGGCCTCAGTACAGCTACTGATTCTTTGGCCAGGTCATGGGGAGCAGCATGGTTACTTGGATATGCGAACAAGGAATGTGTAGGAACTATTCATGCCGAAAGCTTAGGACTTGGGACAATTGGAGGTCGAGAGCCCATAGGCTGCTAGCCGAAGACCTAAACCAAAATTGAAAACCTCTATGTAGCCCGACGTGCAAAGCCAGTTTCCATTTCATTTTCAAACTTCTTTTCCATTTAATTCTCCATCATCCCTGGGCCCTGTATTGAAACCTAAACAACCATCATCAACGTCTGACCTGGTCATGACGCAACGGGCTGATGTTTGGGGTTCTAATCAATTAATCAGGTCGGGCTGTGGCCATTGGAGTCTCTTTTTTGGAAATAGATGTGGAACCTCGGATTTGGGACTCGAATTACACTCTGTGGAGATTTGGACTGTGCTTGCCATCCATGATACGGACTCCCAAGCCTGCGTTTAAATTGAAAGTAGGCGCCAACAGCTTCGCCCGCAACCACTGGGGAGTGGATCATATAAATGTCCCTAGATTGCCCCTGCAGTCCTACCTATGTTCCATCCCTCAATCCCCATTATGCACCAGCAAGCTCCAAACGCTGTGTGATGCCAGCACCATCCCAGAAAAACCTAGACGATCTTTGTTTAGTCCACACATTACCAAAGCACAATCCCGAAAGCCTCCAGGCAATTGCAATCACATCCCTATAGGGGATACTTGTGAACTGCATGTGGTCAAGACTCAGAATCATAACAAGAACGACAACAAGGCACTGTGCGAGTACGGTTGAGGGAGCTGTTTCCTGTATGGATTGATGATACTCAAGTGTCATGATTCCCAAGGTTTAGGGCACTTAGCAATTTTTAGCATTAACAGTAGTAAACACATTTTAGAAGTCAAGGCCTTAGGCCTGTACTATTACTTCCATATACCTCAAGCCCCAATGACCACGCGTAGACGGCACAGACGGTACAGACGGCACAGAACCTAATCCGATGCTTGCCTTGCTTTCTGTGACGTCCATCAATGTCTACAAATTACACTTATATAAGAACACTTCAATGCAGTTGGTCGCATCTGGTCCATACAACCCTACAATAGGGACCCTCTAAGATGATAAGGTCCTTTCTGGGTTGGTGGGGGTCACCGTCTCATTCCTGATTGTAGAGAGACCGTTGAAGGGGAGAGGTTAGACTGCCAGGTGCCTCCTTGGTCGGGGGTGTGATGTCATCTAACAGCTCGAGGTTGAAATCAAGATCAGCCGTGTTGAGCTCAAAGTCCACCGGCACCTTCGGAGCACAGGGAGGCGAGTTTGAGGTTTCTCGCTGGGGCTTAGACAATTAGAATAGGGTGTTGGGGATAAAACGCAATAGCAAGAGGGAGAACCATTGGTAATTCTTCAGGCTTGGCAGGAGGGTGTAGGATCTAACGAGACGGTCCAAGTATCCATGGCTGCGGTACTTAGGCTGTTGATAAGAATGATCGTAGCACAGGTTCGGGGAGTGTATGATTCTTGGGTACTTGCACCATGGGGACCACAAAGAAATTTCGCGTTTGTGAGCGCCCATGTACAAGGGAGCTGGGTATTCCTAATGTTGTGATTACTGCTACTGCTATTGGGTCTGTCAGGCCCCAAAACACTGGGAACCTGTCTTTGTGGACGGGGACTTCGTGAGGCAAAGGAGGTGGCTTCTCCGTTGGAGTGGAGCGGGGCCGGCAAGGCCCTATGCTCGAAACGCGCACCCCTCTGCTCAAAACGGAGGCGGCGATTGCAGTGGCAAGGAAGGCTGCGGATCCCCAGCTTTCATCCAGTCCGATAATGTTTTGAGCGGACGTGTCCTGGATGGCGCAATTGCTCAAAAGCGCCGAGAACCTGGCTCCCGCTTCCCAAATCTCTCTCACTTGCTCTGCAGGCGCAGCAATTTCTGCAACCTGCAACCCAGCCGCTAGGACATCTCCCATGTGCCAGGCATCCCGTTTGATAATTTCTCTCAAACATCAATCGCCGCTGATCAAAGTTACCTTTAGTCAGACCTCGAGTTCCAGTATCCAAAAATCACATGCTTCCCGAAAACTGTACTGCAACAAAAATACCCCAGCTCCCAGGTACCCCATGGTTAGGCACGTGGATCCTTTGATATGGTGTGCAGCTGGACCACAACGTTACTCCAAGAGGCTTCTTCTTTGAGAGACACCAGTTATCCCTCAAATAATCCCACCGTCCGTTTCATTGTCCATCTTCTTATCCAATTGAATTATGGGCTCGTAGCAATAAACCCTGAATGATGGTTCCCCATATATCCTTATATGTGCGTATATATCCCTAGGGCCCTGAGGCCGTCTTGTCTAGAATAGTAACTGCTCTTTGCAAGATGATGATGATGGCTTCCCTAGTTTAGGGCTAGGGTGGCACGCTGATAAGAAACTAGGCAATTGATTCCTCTGCGACTCCCCTTTTCATCCGAGTAGAATGTTCTTTTTCCTTTCCCTTTCCTACTGATCAATAGTTGAAACCTTGGCTGACGTCCTGCTTCTTGTCTTCAACCCTTTTGGGAAGAAAATGTTGCTAAGAGATGGTGTGGCCTCTTCAGGCTAGGCCCTTTGGGTGCATATCCCACACTGTAACTGCTAGTTCAGCGAGGTATCTGTCCCAGATTTGGCCGTCAGCAAGCCTAGTTCTGAATTACAGGCCCTTATCTACCAAATGCCAAATCTGCACACCGAAGCCCACGGGTTGGCTGGCCTTGGACGCACCAAGGGTTGGGCTGCATACGCGCATGCTCTTCCGGATCTCGCGAGCCTCCGGTGCTGTATTGCGGGTATTCATGAGGGGGATGATCTAGTTGTGGCATGTGCCTATCGTGGTTTCCATGTAGATCGACTGCATCAGCCAGATGAACCACCCATATGGCATGCCATGGTGTGCTTGTGGCTTTTGTCAGGAATTAACTCAGAAGAAAAAAAAGCCCAGCAAATGAGCTCATGTGCAATTCCCGAAGATGATGGAAGAAAACGACGGACTCCAGTAGCCTAGAGAACTAACACCCGGCTGCGCTTTTTAGTATAACCCAGGACCCAAAAGGCGTAAAACAGACTTCGGGGGAACCTAGAAGAGAAGGAAAAGGTCGTATCCACAGGCCATTCCGCTCCCAAAACTTCACCCTGAGCCCAAGCCCGTATCCCCCTGAAAGGACAGACAACTCAAAGCAGCACTAACTCACCACAAAAGCCCATGACCCCATGCTTAACCCCCACAACCCTGAAGCCCCAAACCTTAACACCAAAATGCACAAAACACAAAAAACGTCAACGTTTCTGTTGGCTTGCGAATTCAAATCATGGAATGAATACTTATGTAATCAGGCTTCCTCACGGTTTAGAACTTCGCAAACAAAAAACCGCAATAAATCCATTAACACATTCTTCCGTTCCTAGTAACAGGAGATTGCCAATGTTGAGGCCCGCACCATGAGAGAGAAAATACTATGTACCCGCCATATTGCTGTAGCATTCCATACGCCACGCCCTATTTCAATGGTTTAGGCCCTTTCGTTGCCCCAGTCCGCCATGCCTTCATGGTTGAGCCATGCTGCTGCTTCCGTGTGCGCATGAGCCTTCGAGGGCCCAAGAGCAATGCGGTGTAGGGATCAGCCTGTCCCCACGTATGTAACACTGAAGCCCAGAAAGGGCCGTACAAAGCCTACTATCCTTGTGAAACGGCATATACGGGCTTCCACGATAATTTGGAGGTCCAGGCCTTAGGAGGCGCATAAAGAGACTGCCTGAGGATTCTATGAAGTTCTACTGGGATTTGTGGGCTTGAAGAGAAGTGCTCCAAGATGTTTTCGTGCGTACGGATGTGCGGATTCGACCTGGGAATAGAGTTCAGGATGAAGATTGTAGGGGTTACTGTGTGCCAATCCAAGGTTTACGGTTCACCCTCCGAGTCGGATCCACACCATGTAAACAGCCTGAGGGGACATCAAATTCTTCGGCACAGAGTCGTTTTCACACAGCGGCACGACTGGCTAGGCTTTTCGAATATATCAAGAAGGTGATAAGGGCTTCTTGCACTCACGATCTCAAGCCCCAGCTGCTGTTTTAGGTGTGTTGAACTGCACCTAGTTAACTTGCTGGAGCCTACTAGCGGGTTGCACAGAGCAAGGGATTGTGATATGCTCTTATGTGTTATGTGAGGTTACAGAGTCAAGATTTCTGGCAGGGCCTTGTCAAACCACAACTAAAAAATAATGCCAAGGGGGCCACATGCGAGGGTCCCGGACACCACCCAAAAGTCCCCAACGTCTCCCAAAGTGCAATCCCTTGATATCCCTTGCACGAGCTATAGTCTAAATTCCTAGTTTCCCCCTTAAGTAATATCCCCTGTAGTAGTCCCCTGCATCATCCCCTATATAACCCTTCTAAGGACTTTAGAGTAGGGCTCGTATGGAGTTCGCAAACCACCTCCATCAAGCAGGGCCGGCTTTGGTACGTCAACCATTGAATGCCCTCCAGTTCCTCACGATGCACATATTTGAGGTGGACCCCCCCAATCTGTAGTAGTGGTATAGTAGGACTAGAGGACCCTAAAATGATCACCATCATCCCTGAAAGTCACTATTGCAGGGTTGGGGGTCTACCTACTGCATGTTCTTAGTAAGGGTGGCACTTGCACGTCCACGGATTATGATTTGGGGAAGACATAATGCTTTACTGTTTCAGGTTGGTAGACGTAGAAGCCTAAGCTGAAAGACTGCAAGAATCTGTGAAAACCATGCCAGCCCTGCATATTACGTTTGAAACCTGAATACAATTCCAGCACTACTCCCAGAACTGAGAACCTGTAAGCTGTTCGGAAGGTCTCGAAGTGCCGCAGCTCGTGCGTAAAGTCAGGCAGAGAGTACCTTGGCACTTGGGGCCCTCATAATCATAATGATGCTTTTCATGTCCTGGGAGGTTGTACTATCTTGAACCAATTCCCTGGGCACTGATGCTGCAACCACCACAAGCAGATCCACAACCGTGTTAAGCCCTTGATGGACCTTGGCACCGTGTAGACAGCCTGTAGAGCCCCAAAACGACCACTAAAGCTCTCAAGGCTTATAAGCTCGATACGGTGGATGGAGGTAAGCAACACAACTCAGCACCTTAAAAGCCTACACCAAAGATCCAAGTACTCAAGTGCCCATTAATTGAGCACTTGAGATTTGGGCAACAGGAATTCTACCATGGTTTTGGGAAAGTATATGAACATGGACCCTTCAATCCAAAAGCGTAGGGTGTAATGCTGATTTCCGTGATAAAAACCCCAAATGCCCTTAACAACACTTCACATACACATCATTTTGGGGTTAAAGGCAAGCCCTCTGGCTATGTTGGAGGTCTAGGTAAAAACCATGAATCACAAGCCAAGGCGGCTCTTCGAAAAGCTCGGCAAGGAGAGCAGGGCACTCCCGCGCCAGCATGTGGCCGAACTGCCCAAACTCCTGGTCTGGAAGCAGATCTGCCTAGAGTAACCCACATACCCATCACGAAGGGGCTTGTACCTAACATTTCAGATATCTTTATCTATTTCATGGGGTACAGGGTTGGACTAGGGAGGTTGTGGGTTTGGGCTTACTATTCTGGTATATGGTCGGCTCTACTGGGCTATGCAATGTGGAAGGTTTGGGATCTGGGGTGTGAGGCTGATTGTTTCGCATTTGAGCTTAGCAGCTCCAGGGGAGGGGCATCGATTCAACTAACCCGTCAGGCCTCAGGGTACCGGACAAACTGTGCGTAAACCTTTCATTCCGACTTCAGGTCTGTCGGCGCTTCTCGTCTGCGAATTTCTTCTCGCAGCACCCAAAAAGAGTCATCAAGTGATAATTTGTGACTAACCTCTCATAAGTTGCAGGTTTGTAAAACAACAATATCCAAACTGGCGCCCAAAAGGAAACCAACCCTGAGCTCGTACAACACCTCTCGCACATGGCGTAAGGTTTAGGTTACTTAACTCCACTCCAAACCTTGAATCCTAAACCCTCAGCCCTGAATTCTGAACGCAGCCCGGTCTTCCTGCTCGTTCCGAATATTGATCTCAAAGCCTAGTCCTCCCATCTCACAGTCATCCCTACGCCTACTATAGATGCCTGACTACTTACCAATTCTACGTTGAACTCAATTTGAGGTAACATGTACTATGATTGTACAAAGAAACTCGGGCCAAAATGTTGGTGAGCATTTAAGCCCCTGTGTACATCATACTCATACCCTTGCGTTAGGGGTCGGATTTAAGGATTCCTGGCTCTTTCTGCTGGCTGCTGTCGCCCGAGCTTTGCACTGCCTCAGGCTGGCCCTGCCTGAGACCTGAGACCTCATCGCTGAACCCTGGACCATCAGAACCCTGAGCCTTCAATTGTTCCTTGAAGCTCTGCCGTCAACACAAGACAAAACATATTGAATCCTGAAACTGAAGCTCGCAGCTGCGCAAATCCAGATAAAACCCTGCACCGTATGTACGACACAACGCTTGAGGGCTTATTAAGGCTTTGAAGCTGCTGTTTCCCGGTTCCAGTAGAAACCGTAAGCCCACAAAACCACGAGCCGTCCTTGTGCTCGTACCGGCTTCCTGCAACTTCCTGCCATGAGCGAATTGCCTGGAGCGCGGAATCCTAAATACATCGGAGAATGTTACCATGATCGCTGTTGCAGCAGCTATGATCTGATTGCCTTTTGCAGACTCGTGCCTTTATAATAACTATTGCTGTCATTGTGGGTACCGCATTGTCCTCAACTGCGCTTGTCCTATATTATTATGTGTGAATAATTTGCCGCATTCAAATGGTTGTTCTCCGTCTTGTCCGACTGCATCTGCAGGTGCTTGAAAAGTTCTTCTGTCAGCCAGTTGTTATTCTCACTTCTCGAGTCTCACTTTATCTGTGCTAGCTAATCACAAGCGCGCATAACAGCTAGTATAGCTGCAGTCTTGCTCTTTCGCTTGCTGGCCTGCTATGACAAGTGTCAGTGCAAGAACACTACGCCCGAAACTGATAGCTTGATTCACCATCAACCCAGTCTTCGTGCATCCTCCCCGCACAAGTAAATCATTAGTATGATGCTGGTCCCTGCACTCGGGTTGCGATTCATGCACGGGTCCTTACGCCTGAGTGAACATTTCTCAGAGCTTGGCGACGCACAAACGGCCCATGACTTGGGAGAAACACTTCCATAGTTTGGCGTAATACAGATCGTGGTAGGCAGGAGCATGGCATGCCGAATCATGACGGCAGTGGCATGCTAGAGATGTAGGTTTAGGCTTTTTCCGATGTATGTTGCGCCGCCTTGGCTTCCAGATGTGTAGTACGATGCGAGGACTCTAAAGACGATGTTCTGCAATCTATATAGCGCTTGATGCAGTATCTGAAGGCTCGCTGTTATCTTCGAGATCTTCTTGTCACCAAACTTCCCTCAGTATGCAAACACCAGTGTCAGACTTAAAGCATGCAAATTAGAAAAGAAAGCTTTTAGTTGAGCGGCATTAGCTGCATGTGCGCACCGAGCCCCATACTGACAAGCTACATCCTCAGGCGCATACTGCAAGAAAGTCTCCCTCCGATTCTCCCCGTCACATCTCAGCAACGCATAGTCCCCAGGTCGGGGGGGTTTTCGTGAGGGGAGGGACTCATGACGTCAGCCTGTGGGGAGGTGATCACATCGCTGCCGCCCCGCAGCGTGACCTCGGTGTCTGTCGTCATTCAGAGTTTACTTACTAGGGGTTGGTAGGGAATACGGGAACTTAAGATACATGGGGGCCATACAGGGATGATATTCCTTTCTTCCTTACTAAACTCTACAGCGTTCAGAAATTAAGGTCAGAGTCAGAGCTAAGGTTCAAGCCAAATCTTCATAGAATGCACACTAGTGCGAAGCAGAACGTTCTGGGCCTTAGGGTCATAATTGATAAGTTCAGTCTGAAAGGTTGAGAGACTTGTAAGGCCACATGGGGATCCTCCATTGCGCATCTCAGGTCCTCTACTTTGAGGAATCTGGAAGTCCATGGCAGAATGCGTATAGGTTACATGGTCTTTCGGATCTACACCCAGAGCCATCGCTTCAATCTCCGTCTAGCATCATGGCCGGGGCTTTCGTGCTGTGTCATGTCAGGCTTAAGGGTCTAGTGCATAAGCAGAACCAATTCCAATGCACAATTCCTCTCAACGTATACGAAAAAATTACGCTTGTTCGAAGCAAGGATGTAACCATAAAAGAGATCGTATGAAAATAATGTCATTTCCAAAGAAGCCTGGTGAGATTCCACTTTGTAATCCGCTGCCCGATGCCTTGTTCCGGCCCTTATTTACAACCCTGCTTGCAAAGTCTGTATTCACCTTTGTGATGCAGTGATGCAACTCCGTATCCATACAAAGAGAAAATGCTCCGCAAAAAACGGTTATACGCTCAGATTGGCAACGCCCTGAGAACCTGCGCCACACCACATCTGAATGTGCATCGTATAGCAGGCGTTGGCGTTAAGGGCTCAGGGCTTAGGGTGGCAGCAGCAGTAGCCACAATATGAAATACGAAAACCACCCGAAAAAAAAGAAAAAAAGATAAACACAACATCCTGGAAAAAGGCCTGTCAATCCCGAATCCATGCAACGAAATGCCAGGTTCGAAGAGAGGCATTGAATACCAGGCACAAAAGAACAGGGCGTGCATTGAAGGATTTTTTCACAGGCTTCCCTTGCTGTCATGGCAGTTCAAAGGGGTTTAGGGGAGTTAGGAAAGTCTTGCGAAACGTCAGCAATAAAGAAAACAACCTGTCCGAGAGGCGATTGGCGAATGGATGCGCTCCACTTTGGTCAGGCGATAGGACTCAGGGGCGCTTTGTGGTGACCACTTGTGAAACTACGAGTTCCCAACTACAATCTAGTCTATAGTCACCTTTGCAGCTAGGCCTGAGCACAGGTAGCCACATTTTGGAGAAGCTCCACCCTGAATCCTGGAATATTCACACATACTTCCAACATGTCCCTCACATGCAGCAGTCGATGGACAAATGATGCCTCATTGCTTTAGGTAGGTCCTAACGGTTCTCACCTCTTCCGCCCAAGGACCGCCCCGCTACCTAGTCTCCTTCAAAGGATATGCGCTCTCTGAAGCTAACATGTCAATCCATGAAGCCCTCTTTAAAACGAAGGCGGCTCTTGCAGGCTCCATGTTAGTCTGCAGGAGGATAGCTTGTGTTTTCTGCGGAGTGGCGTGGGCCTTTAACCCTCAGGCGTTGCTAAGCCCTAGAGGCCCTAGTAGTTCCAACTGAAGTCGCAAGGAGACTTTCATTTGGAGAGCCAGATAGTGGAGGCCAAGTCGCAAACCCAGGCCCTAAACCCTAAACCAAACCCCGAACCCAAAAGTTCTTCCCCAAAAACAAGAAGATTCACATTGTGGGATCCCTTGACAGGTAACAAATAATTGAAGGAGCAGAAGACATTCTATTCGTTTCCCAGAATAATTAGCAATGGAGACTTAAGGATCTCCCCTCTTTTTGGTCGGGGACAGGGACTGGTCCTTTGCATCATCCCTCAGTAGTCCCCTTTCCCCAACTAACCACCCTGCACCCTACAGCCCAAACCCTGAATGCTGTAGTAGCTTCCGTTTTTCCCGGGCTTCCCAGGAACTGCCTTTCTGTAGTTGCCTGAACCCTGTGACATTCCACCTAGTTATCGCAATCCCCAACCCTAAAACTTAAACCACCCTTACAAACCCTAAACCCCAAACCCGAGCACCCCAACCCGAAAACCCGAAAACCAACATACTCGTCCAACCTGAAAAGCCGTGCTAGTAGTATTTAATACCAATCCCAAGAATAACAAGAATAACAAATCACAGAAGGAATCATCCTCCTCCTAGCCCGACCTCATAGGCCAGGCAGTCAGCCTTCACGGGATTGACGATGTTGTCAACGAGCTCAGGCCTGGCAAATTGCCAGGCTTTGGAGCTTCTCAAAAAAGGGTCTGAAGCTCATGGGGTTCATAGGGTTTGTAAGGCTTACAGGGTTTACAAGGTTTCTAGGGTTTATGGGTTTGCGGGTTTGTGGGTCTTAGGATGTACGGGATGTATAGAGCTGTTGGGGTGTATCGTGTACAGGATTTAGTCTTTGAGGAGGTGTGGGCCAAGAATGGGTGGCACCTCAGGGACGCGAGGGATACAAAGGGCATCGTCGGGGGTTACTCTGGGAAATTAAAAGATAAGGACTGTAGCACAGTTGCTTGAGTTCAGCAGCGTATACAGATTCATTCTACCACGCCATTGTGATTCCCAAGAGACAAAACGATCTACACAAGACGGGCCCGGAGCAGAAATCCAAAGTTTCGACCAACCCAAGACCCAGTTCCCCTGGCCCACAATTTGCAGAACCCGTCCAATTTTCACTACTTTCTTTTGTGCCCACAACTTTGCATCCTACACCCTAAGGAAAACCTACGGTAAGCTCATAAATTAAACCCAGCATCCAAAAGCTCAAAGCGCTGAAACCCTTCCCAGAATTCCTAAATCCCAGCAAACCTCAAGCGTGAAACCCCAAACCCTGAAGCACTTGGCCTTATGTTAGATAAACCCCCGCCCTCTCGTCAATAATAAATCCCTACCCCTCACAAAAACAAGTTAACAAAATAGTGCCAATAGCATCAGGTAGTGGGGTGGGCGTTTTACTATCCGGAGGAAGCGCTCGCCGGGCCTCTGCAGGAGCTCTTCCAATTCCGCGCGGCCTGTTCCGGCGGAGGCCAGGAGGAAACGCTTCCAGTCCTTGACAAGAATGGGGCTTTTTGGGTCTATAGGCGTTACGGCTTAGGACTTAGGGATTCGGATTGGGTTAGGGACCCTTCGAAGAATGTTGATTGGGGGACTGTGGGCTCCTGATCGAGGATTCTAACAAAACCCATTATCTATCTGGACTTGCTGTGCCCCAGAATGATACCCGGCGGAACCCAAATACAAGGACTTGTATTGTTCAGAGAAGCCGCCACACATAGATGATCATTTCTCAATAAAGGGTCCTCTCAATCCTTTTAAGAAACATTGTGGCTTTGGGTTCCAAGGAGGCCAGGGTATAGAGGATCATGTAATTGCGATTCAGGTTGCAGGATTTAAACCTGAAGGCTTTGAATAAAGAAATCCATAAAAGCTAGGCCGAGGAGGAGACACAGTTTAGGGTCAAGGGCTTGGGATTAGGGTCAATACAATAGTCCCGAGCCATGATCTTTTGCTGCAAGCACCTATGTATCACTGAACCCTCTGGGTGCTTCATCCCTGGAACCGAGACACTGCAGCCCAACCCTGCTATCCCGCCTCATCAGTCATGTCCTTGCAGCTTCCTTCGTAGCCCAGATGCCTCGATTTTTTGGCAGAAGGCTTTGGGTTTAGGCGCGGCGGGGATGGCTTAAGGCACGCTTGGTCAGAGGTGTGGATTCCAGGTAAGGGCGTCTTCCCCAACCCATCGCCCCGCTATAATACGGCCAGGTTTTTTGTTTTTTTTACTTGGGGGGCCGCCTAAACAAAACACAACCCGAGAAGAGTAACAGGTACACTGCCAAAAAACATCTTACAGCCCAAGACCGTAAATTCCCTGAACCCCTGAAAGATCCCTCAAGGCTTCAGACTGCTGGCTCAGAGCTCTGGATCTTAAAGGTTAGATTCGGGGTTAGGTTGACCTGAAATGAAATGGTGGTTCTCAAAACGACAACTACCTGGGTCAGAAACTTCGTCAACAAACACGATTTCGGCAACAACTAATATATTCCGCGTTGTTTGTCAAGCTGGAAAAGTTTTGCTATAGAGCCACTTCTCCACAGGGCTCAAGGTTTGTGGGTTTGGGTTTACGGATAAGGGTCTAGGGTAGGGTCAAAGGGGCACTTGCTAGGGAACCAAGGGTTGGAGGGCTACGAAAACAGCGGCATGGGCACTTGTCAAGATCAGCCCCGCGCAGGCCCTTCCTCGGTTACTAAACATTACCCCACCCACGAAATTCCCCTTAGCCCTTGTGCATTGGAGAGTAAGTTTCAAGTTTTTGGGTGAGGTGTTGTTTGACAGTAGGGTGGACAAGATTCCAAAATCTCCGTCTGACTCCTGCACAAAGGGCCTCTTTTGAACACACATCGCCTTCGGACTATTTTGCGCAGACTTCTTAGGATGCAAGGGCCACTGCTGCCTCGGATAATCTCTACATGGGCATTTCTCAGACGATGGGGCCGCCATGGATCCTAATCAGATCTAACTAGGGATGTATAGGGACAATTACAAGCAGCTGAGAGAATTCCACTGAAGGATCTCTTTGAGAAACTCCCGCAGAATCACATAAAATCTCATAAACCTGGATATGAAAGCCATATTCCACTCCCTACGCCTTGAATGCTAGATCCTAGACCCTAAAGCCACCTTAAAATCAAAACTTACAAGGCCAGCACCCTACAGCCGAAACCTCACACAGCCACGTAAAGTCGGCTTGAGATGCGCCATGGCTGCCTCCCCCATGCCCCGTTCGCGGCTGGCCTACAGGCTCCAGGGATGCAGGGTTTCAGGTTTTTTTTAAGGAGTTTATAATAATCCCTTATATCCGCCGACCCCTGGGGCCGG